CGAAGAAAGGGATGAATTGTCTGTAAAAGTTTGCAAACCCCAGGAAGCTTTGAAGCTGCTTACAGGTTCGTGGGTGTTGCCAGTCCAACACTGCCTTCACCTTCCCTGGGTCCATTTCGATTCCTTGATTCGACACCCTGTATCCAGGTAGTCCAAGAACTCCTTATGGAGCTCGCATTTGGACAACTTCGCATAAAGCTTGGCTGCTAGGAGCTTTTTCAGCACTTGTCTGACCAGTTTGGCATGTTCTTCCATACTTTCACTGAATATAAGAATGTCATCAAGATAAACAAGGACCCCCTTATACAGGTGCTCGTGCAAAACTTCATTGATCAGTTGCATGAAGACTGCGGGGGCCCCTTGGAGTCCAAAAGGCATGACCCAGAATTGGAAGCTGCCCAGGGGGCAGTTAAAAGCAGTCTTCCATTCGTCTCCCTCTTTTATGCGAACTAGGTAGTAGGCTTCCCTTAGCTCTAGCTTGGTGAAATCTTGCCTTTTGACAAGTGGTTTAGCAAGTCTTTCATTAGTGGTAGGGGTTAGGTATTTTGTATGCAAATTCAGTTCACTCCCCTAAAATCAACACACAATCTCAGCGTACCATCTTTTTTTTCTTTAAACAAAACTAGAATGGCCACGCTAGATTTCGCAGGCTCGATGAATCCTCTGGCTAGGTTAGTGTCAATGTACTTCCTCAACTCAGTCATTTCAGCAGGTGTCATGGAGTACATCCTGGGTTTTGGCAATTTGGCTCCCAGTTCTAATTCGATGGCGCAATCCGTGGGCCGATGAGGGGGGAGGAGGTTACATTCCTCCTCACTGAAAGCTTCGGCTAAGTCTGTATATACCTTAGGAATCTGGTGTTCACCTGGAGGCTTGTCTGAATAAATTGCAGCTGGTTCAGGCAGCTGGCCTTTATGGGCAGGCTGCTCTTTGGGAGGAGGGCCAGGAGGTAATGGGCCAGCCCCTATTCTGATTTTTTGGTTTGATGGTGGGGGGCCCATTTGTCCAGCCAAGCCAGGCCCAGTATGACAGATTCTGACATTTTTGGGGTTACTATAAATCGTGTTCATTATGCCTTCCAATTTCTAATTAAACCAGTTCTGTAATATGGGTGACAGAGAACCCCCACCCCCAATTAATATTCCATCCACCTGGTGAAATTTAATTGGGTGCTTTAAAGCTGCTGTTCTGATCCCCAATTGTTCAACAACTGGAAATCCAATTAGACATCTGGTGCAGCCGGTATCTATTATTGCTGGCAGTTCTGCTTGCCTCCCTGTCTCTGGCACCACCAGTTTTACTTTAATTGAAAAGGGGGGAATGGGTGCACTCACCATCGGGTATTCATCTTCGCTAGCCTTGCCGGAGGGGGGTGGGGCTTCTTTAGCTGGAGGATCCTCGCTTTTTTCAGTGGGGAGGGGAACCTCTACAGCTTGTCTGGCAAATTGGCTGGTGTCTGGGGCTTTTCTTGGAGCCCTTCTGCCTCGTGCAGCTGTGGCAGGACATTGTTGTGGAACTGGGGCAGGGGCCAGGCACTCAGAAACTCGATGTCCCTGTTGTCCACACTGATAGCATTTAATTGCCACTGCCGGTTGAAGGGGGGGGTGATTTCAGTAGCCTTTGAAATGGGCTGTCTAGATAACACTCTCCAAGGCGTCTTCTCTGCTAGGGTTTTGCTGTAGGGGTGGATTTTTTTTTTTAATTTGATTTATATGCCGCCCTTCTCCGGAGACTCAGGGCGGCTTACAATGCATTAAGCAATAGCCTTCATACTTTTGTATATTTATACAAAGTCAGCTTATTGCCCCCACAAACTGGGTCCTCATTTAACCTACCTTAGAAAGGATGGAAGGCTGAGTCAACCTTGAGCCTGGTAAGATTCGAACCTGCAGAAATTGCAGGCAGCTGTGTTAATAACAGGATGCATTAAACTACTGTACTACCAAGGCTCTTTATCTTTATCTGTTTAGAGCTATGGACATGGTATACCAGTCGTGCAGACGCTCAGGCATCCCCTGGATACCACATGCTTTTCTGACTTCTTGGTCAATAGCTTCTTTAAAATAGTGTGGGAGTATGTGGTCTGGCCAATGCCCCAGGTTCCCTGCAATTCATCTAAAGATCCATACAAAGTCTTTTATGGGTTGATTACCTTGCTTCATCACCTTTAGTGTGGCTTCACTTTCATTTATTTGGTCATTTAAATCAGACATGGAGCAGCGCAATAAACCTGTCAGCATCATTCAGTTCTGCAGTGCCCTCATTGTGCAGCTGGGCTATCATTCAGAAGCCTCTCCCTCATTCATCCCAATGGAAATCGCCGACACCAAGTCCCGGTCTGACTCGTATTGGTCTCTGTACTGATCCACATGAGCCCAGACCCTGCTGAGGAAATAAGCCAGTTTGGCAGGCATACCATCAAAGGTTGCTCTGAAGCGGGGTGGAATTGGCCTCGCGGGTAGAGAGGCCCCAGCAGTGGCTGGGTGAGCTGGAACTTGTTGCGAAGCTGCTCCTGGTTGCTGTACTTCAGCCGGCTGCTGGGGGAGGGGGCCCATCTGCTGAGCTGCTTGCTGGGCTGGAGAGAGGGAGGGGTACTCCAGCCAGCTACTGGATTAGTCCCCCCTGTGGTGCCAGGATCTTTAGGATATATTGGGGCTATGGGGATCCCTGGAAGCTTGGAACAGACGGCACTGGATACCACTGGCACTGGACTCACCCCTGGCCAGGATAAAATCCACAGCCTGGCGGTATACTCTCAGCAGGAAGTAGCACAAACGCAGGCTGGCAAGGGGCCCCAAAAGGGAGGTTTTGCATTCCGTATGCTGGCTACGTTTGGTGTCTCACAGCTGCAGGATGTCCAGGCTGCACTGATTCACTTGTTTCACCCCTGGCCAGGTAGAGGGGCATCTCTGCCCTACTAATTCCCCTCCAGGTCCCGGATCAGGGAAGGTGGATGTAGATTGCGCTAATCTCTATCTCACCTCAAGAGGTTGGGAGGTGGGTGCGTAACTTTCCACTTCCATCTGTTCAAAACGCTCCGGGAGCCCAATTAAAGATTGACTTCGCATTGGGTGCAACAGGTCCCAATCCTGGGAGTCTCCGGATCCCACAGCTGCCCCATCCTCCACTCTGGCTCACGGGGCGACTTCATTTCCCCTCCTGGAGCTGGGTCCGACTGGCAACTCTTCCAGGAATCTGACACCTTGGGCGGAACCTCCAGCCTTCGGGCTTCCTCTGCAGCCTCAATGGCTTGCACCATTTCTTCAGAAGGAGAAAGTAAGGAGTTGGTAAATCCTTGAGCATCCATCCCCACGGCCCCCTTTACGATTTCTCCTTTCTCCTCCATCTTCACTGAGTCTTCGCACCACCCAAGGTTTAGGTAGATGCTAGAGCTCAGCACCCTCCAACAGCCCCCTTACGGGGTGCTGTTAGGCTTTAAGAGAGATTCGGGTTAATGTCAGCATTCCAGAAAACCCCAACTCCGAGTAAAGACGCAGAAGCAAGCATTTTCCAAAGTTCTCTTTACTAGAATAGGTAAACTGGCACATCTGGGAAAACCCGAATTTGAAAGGTCCGGGTTTTCCCTCAGTAAATCAAAACCCTCAAAACCATCCCCTCACTCCTCAGTCAATCACATGCTCCAATCAACGTCCGTCCCATCTCGACTCAGCACTCCGACCACTCCTTCTCCAGATGCCAGATCGCCCTGACCTTGACCAACAGGAAGAATGTTATTATGTCTACCAACAACCCCTCTATTAAATCTCCCCTCCTACTTTCCTACACATGAGAAGGTGATAGCATGGAAACTTCCGGTCTAATATGGCTTCCAAAGCTGACAGCGAGAGCTAAAGATCCACTGGAACAAAGAGAGACTAGGGCGATGAAATTAAAAACTAGCAACAAGTAAATATGGGGGAGGAAGTAAAAGCAATATCTTTAAATGTAAATGGACTGAATGCGGCAATAAAAAGAAATAGAATATTGACTAAATTAAACAATTTGAAGATGGATATTATATGTTTACAGGAAGTGCATATTAGAAAACAGCATTCAAAATTATTACAATATCCAAAACTAGGAGTACTATTTACATCATTGATACAACAAAGTAAAAGAGGAGTGGTACTGAATATTTAAGAAAGAGTAGACAAATTTTTGAAGATGAGGAAGGTAAGTTCTTGATGGTCAAAATTAAAATGAACTTCAAACAAATACAAATACTTTTTATAGCATTATATGCACCAAATGAAAAACAGGAAGAATTTTATCGGCGATTACATAGGAAAATTGTAGAACTGGACTATGAAAATGTATTTTTTCTTCTTCTCCTGAATAGTTCCTTATATGTCTTTTTCTCAAACTCAAACTGCCATTCAGTGATCAGGGTCACACCCTAAAAAATTATTTCCCTTTTTTATTAATTTGATGCACACAAATCAAAAATTACCCTTGGTTGCTAATTCAAAGCCAATATTCTAATTCAAAGCCAATATTCTAATTTCAAGCTATTATTATTTTCTTTTTTCATCTTCACTGTGGTTTTGAAACAAAAAAGTGAGATTAATTCACATTCTTTTCTGAAGTCTATGCATGTACGAGAAGTTTTTACAAGATTTTAGACACCCTTATTGAGAGTTGTATATCAATATCCTTCTAGTTTTCCTTTTCCTCTTCTAGCTCTTTGTTTGAACCTCAGATTAAAATATTTAATGGAAGCCAATTAATTCCTTAAATGTTACTGTTCCTGGTTTCTGTTATGGCTGAAAAAATATGTACTTGACTCTAAGGATGAAAGAGTAGAAAATTGAAAGTGACATCACATCCATGCTTTTCATTGTATTGGTATTTCTTTTCTAAATGCATGATTGGACCCAAAATGGAACAAAAATAAATACAGGATTGTTTTCAATACTCTGATTTGTGAATGAAATAAAACAAGAGAGAAGATTGACTATTTCAATTTGCACCTTAATTTGTTTCTTTCCCTTGTCTTCTAGGTGCCAATGACCCAGGGGTCTCAAGGACTGCCACAACAGTCATACCAACAGCCAATTGTGCTCCCTAATCAAACAGATCAAGGAACATTTACAGCCACTGGAATGCCCATTTATTGTAACGTCCTATCTCCTTCCCCACAAAACGCTATCCGGTTAATTGCACCACACTGTCCCACTAATAATGTTTCTGTTATCTCTGTCAGCTGCAGGACAAACTGTGCAAATATGAATCATACTGGATGGCAGGTCAAGTACTCTGAATCCTTAGTTTAAATACACAAAGGTAACTGCATTTCTTTTTTTAAAAAAAGGGAACAAACTCATGGCCTTCAAATGAAAAGAGGAATGCAACAAGAATAATCAGTTGGGAGGTATAAAAGCTATGCTGCTGGAAATATTTGTAAAACAAAACGAACAAAACATCAGTTGTTTGCTGTTTAATGGTGCATATCTTGGTCATGTCTGCTAGATTTGCTTTTACAGCCTAGTTAGTGACATGAACTCATTGGGGTAAGTGTTTTGCTACCACTGAATAGCACTGTGTAATATCCCTAATTCAGATTAGTTTTACATTTTGTGTTTAGTTTGTGAAGCAAAAGGTATTTAAAAGAAATATAATAAAATTACAATGTCTCAAAGTTGTAATGGACATTTTTTAAAAATGCTGAATAGAAGGAATACTTTATATACACTATAGAGAGTTTTTTATAGATATCTACTATATTCTGGTGTTATATCACAATAAAGCTATTTGAGCTCATGAAAAAAGATCAACTTTCTACTATCCATTTTGGTCTTTTTTTCCAACTCCAGATTTTTTTTTCATTTGCTTACAGTTACCATTGTTAAGTGCATGTTTTTAAGTGTGGATTTCATGTGACCATGACTTCCAAAAAAATCTATTGCCACTTTTCTCTGAGTGTGATATTTGCCAAAAAAAAACCCTGCTGTTTAACTTGCATTGGTATTCCCATTGCCGCAATTCAGTTCTGAGAGAGCAAACTACCCAGGAAATTGCTGGTATCTGTGCTTCTTTCTTTCTTGCTCTCTTTAAGTCCTGCCCCCCTCCCCCCCATCAGCTCAGCGAAGCTTTACTAGCATCAGCCTATAAAAGCTTTGCTATGAAACAACCAAGAGTGAGAGAAAAAGAGGAAGATTAGGGTGCTGACGCTGGTAAAGCAACAGAAAGGAGCCAGAAAGATGTATTTTTCTAGGAATACTCATGAGTATACTCATCAGAAATAGCAGGAGGAGTGAGAAGAGTGGTGAGCAATGAGTAATAGTGTATGGAGATTCTGCTGTTTTGTGTCTTGAGCCCACCAAATTTGGTATAGTTTAAAAGAGTCTGTGACAATCAGTTGTCCTGTTAAAAATGCATTCATCTAATCATGCAATCTTTGATTTGTTTAGTTTAGTTTCTGACAACTAGAAGTAAACCCCAATTTGTTGACAATGTTTTCAATATGGCTAGTTCCTCTGTTCCATCTTGTTTGTCTAAATCTTGGTCTGTTTGAATGTTTGGGTGGTTTAGGAGTGGGGAATTGTGGTGGGTGGGAATGTGTTTGGGGATTGTTATGTGTGTTGGACCTGGTCTTTGGGTGTTAAGTGAATTTCATTGTACGGGTATACTGTGTATACACATACAATGACAATAAAGTTGTTGTTGTTATTATTATTATCTTTATTCATAAATATGAAACTCAGTCAACTGAACATTCAAAAATGCAATCACAAATATCATTGACTGGTGCTAATGGTTGATACGGGTTGCTGCCAGCGTCCTAGATATCAACCAAGTACCTTCTTAAAATGTATGATGTTCCAAGTAGCACAGTTTTTTGCAGTTCTGCTGGTGTTATTGCAGGAAGCTGCAATTTGCTAATGTATGTTATAAAATTCTTGGACATGGTACCAAGTGCCCTGATGACAATGGGTATCTCTGTTACATGTTTCATCCTGATTCTGCCACCCAACAGGCAGTTAGGCCTCTTCCCTACCCCCCCTTCCTGATTCTGCCATCCAACAGGCAGTTAAGCCTCATTCCTAAACCCCCCCTCATTCCTGATTCTGCCATCCAACAGGCAGTTAAGCCTTTCCTATCCCCCATTCCTGATTCTGCCACCCAACAGGCAGTTTGGCCTCACATGTTGAGTGTCAAAAGCCTCTCGACAATACATCACCTTGATGGATGGTATTGAAGACCATGAAAGGGGAGGAATATTGCCTGAGGATCCGGAGAATACTGACAGATTCCAGCAACAAAACATGGTGGAGGGAGGTATTAGAACACCATGTACACTAATAGTGGGTGATGGACGGAAGGCAAGAAGAGGGGGGGTGGAATGGGAATGTAAATCAGCTGCTGAAGAGACAATAGTGCAGAGGGGAATGACGTCGTATGCCTGCGATGAGCATGAATGGAACAAGCGGCAGCTTTGATTGTGACCGCTGTGAGAAATCATTGCCTGCCTAATGATAGTTAACTGTATCCACGCCCTATAAAACAGTACAGGTGGAGAGCTAGGGTGTCTCCGACTTTGTTTTGCTTAGCAGCTCAGTCTCTACTGTACGCTACTATGTTGCCTCCATTAAACCGGGTTTTGGAACAAATCCTCCTTTTTGTGTGTACATGTTTGTATGCGCCCGGTGAAGCACTGGCGACTCCAGAGGGGCTGAGAGAAAGTCGGAGACCAGCTTTCCATCTTCGAGAAATAGGTGCGAAGTGAGAGAGAGATGGCAGAAGGTACGGAAGAGGGGATTGCCATTTTGGATTTAGAAGTGCCTGAAGGGACGAAGGATGGAAAAGAAGAACAGGGGGAATGTGAACAGCTGGTGGTGTGTCCCAAACAGAGAGCGGTTCAACCAGAGGAAAAGCAGGGGAGTCAGGAGAGTACGGTTGCAGAAAATACCCAGCCGTCCTCAGGACATTGGTGGCATAGTTCGGCTTTGTGGGGGAAACTGGGGTTTTGGGCGCCAACACAACCCCCCTCAGGTCTGCAATATCAAGGTTGGAGAGAACGACAGTGGACTGACAAGGAAGAGGGAGAGTGGGTTTACTCTACTGGATCGGGAGTAACCATGATGGAATTGTTGAGAGAGAGGTTTGGGGAGGCCAGCTTTAGGGATGCTCCTTCCTGGCAGCCATGGGCTCCAGGGTTGGAATCATCGGCTACCTGGCAGGGAGGGAGTGGAGCATCGGTAGGACCATCTGAGAGCAGATTTAGACTGGCGAGTCCCAAATTGAGGATGGATAAAGAGCGGTATCAGGGGAGGGGGGAGGAACCCACCCACCCTGAGATGATACCAACGTTGGGGCTGCATGAAACAACCCAAACCCATGGGAGGGTCCAGCGAGAAACGGAAAGGGAACCAGCGGTTAGGCATCAACAGACAGAAGCATGGAGGAGCCATCAGGGAGGCGAAGGCTCTGCACGTGGTAGGGACCCAGGTCCTGTTTGGGTGCCTGGATTGTAGCCACAGCAAATCCCCTGGGGGCCTCCTCCATTGCAGGCTAGTTTTGACAGTAATCCGGATGTGGCTCTCTTTTTGAGCCAAGTAATTAGCTACAGGGATGCCTACGGACACTTCTATTCCTCTCCATGGGCGAGAGTGGTGGCTGTTACTATGACCTTAAGTGGTGATGTGGTTGACTGGGTAGCTGGATTACACAACATGCATGCCCAGGAGCTCGTGGATTTAGGTTGCTTTCTGGAAGCCCTGCAGTGTAGGTTCGAGGATGATGCAAGTACTCAAGCAATTGTCGAAGGTGATTTAGTCTCATTGAGGCAAAGGGGTCAAGCAGCTAAAGAATACGTACAAGACTTTCGGAAACTAGCAGGAGGGCTGAGGGGGTGGCCCGAGCGTTTACTCGTACACCAGTTTCACATGGGTCTGGGTGCTACGCCAGGCTTGTGTTTATAGGGGGCTTGGTGCTTGTATTGTGGAGTGGTATAAAGCGGCCGTAGAACTGGATATTGGTTTAAAGGAGTTTCGTACACAAGGTGAAGTACTGGGCCAACCACGAAAACTATTGGAAAAACCGCAAATAGGCTGAGGAGTAGTAAGACTGAACATGCCTATAGGGGCCAGATCTACTGCTCCTCCAAGACGTCCTTTTCGATGCTACCGATGTGACCAGGAGGGGCATAGAGCGGTCAAATGTCTGCTTCCACCTCTCTGGGTATCGGCTTCACAATCATCGAGTCCTGGGGAAAGAACCAACCCACGGTCACAAGTGACGTCGGAACATTCTTGTATTGCAATGCAAGCAACGGAAAGTGGTCTTAGTAGATGTGAAGAAAGACATGGTCACTCGGGAACCGCTCGGGTACCAGAAGAGCCGGAGGTTACCGAAGATGAAACGGATCCCCGAGACCCTATGGTATATGCTCCTATACGTCCCTTTATAGTCCAGGTAACATTGAAACACCCAAAAACGGGTAAGGCAGAACACATAGGGGCTTTGGTTGACACTGGGTGTACGTGCTGTCTCTTGCGGAGGTCAGTGGCTGAAGGGTTGGGTCTTCGTATTATAACTCTGCAGACTCCCATTAAGTTCAAACAAATGGACGGCTCAACCCTAGGCGGACAGCCTGCTATACATGTGACAGAACTGGCGAGACTTGAAATTGGACAACATTGGGAGTTGGTGCGATTTGTGGTCGTGGAGACAATGATAGAACCTGTTATCCTGGGGCTATCATAGTTGGACAAGTGGAAGCCCACCATCCTTCTCCTCTTGTATCGCCGCTGTTATAACTCACTTGTCTTCCTCTGATTCGATCGCGCGTCCCGTTTGCCGTCTCTATTGTAGGTGATCTATCTGACAGTCACTCGGATTTGCTTCCACTTTTTGCTTCAATCTAGGCGGGCGCCATCAGGCTGTCCGCCGATAAGGCCGACTTCTTCTCCACCAATTTAAGAGGTTGATCGCTCGACCTCCCTGATGACAGCGCAACACCAGGGGGCTTCGCGAATTCCTCTTTCGTTTCCCGATCCCTCCAAGTTCGGGAATGCCCTTAAAGAGCAATTAATGAGGAAATTTGGGTTTCAGAGACGGAGCCTCCGTTTCCTCACCCGTTCGTGATGACGTCACCGCCGGAAGTCTCGAAATGTCTTTATATCTAACAATATTTCCCATGTTCACGATATTTGGGTATGTCACCGCTTCTATTGTAGAAAGTCATATTGGAATATTCAAATAATGTTTTTCTTTCACTCTCTCCCACACTGATAACAAACCATTTCTTACATAATGTCTTTGGAAATATCCATATATCCTTTTTTCCCCGCACCATAAAAAGGCATGCCAACCCAGTTGTAAATCATGACCCTCCAATATCAATAGTCTTGTATTCCTTAATAAAATCCATTCTTTAATCCATGTTAACGCTGCCGCTTGATAATACAATTCCCAATTCAGAAGGCCAAACCCACCTCTAATTCTTGTATCTTGTAGCATTTTTATGTTTATTTATTTGTTCAACTTGTATGCCATCTTTCTCCGAAGACTAAAGGTGGCTTACAATGCATTTAAAAACCATATATAAAACATTAAAAGTTAAAACCTTTTAACTTGATCCTTGCTCTCTTTCCTTGCCAAACATATTTCCATGTTATTTTCTTCAACTCTTCAGAA